GGGGACTGAGGCTGCTCAGTAACCCCGTAAATGCTGAGTCTGCTATTTCTGTTGCTTGAAGAACAAGGTGAATGTAGGTCTCCTTGGATACTGGGGATGATAGAAGGGTGTGGATTGGAGAGAAACAGGACTTCCTGCCCCTTCAATTTAAATGGAGATTCATTCGATTGAAAAAAAAAATGTATATTCACCAGGCCCTGTGTGAATTACCACCATGGATGTAGATGGAGTAAGCCATGTTCCCAGGTAGCCTGCAATCAAGTGCAATCCATTGGTGGTAGGAGGCATGGGAGATACAGAAGTAACTCAGGACTAGATTGAATTGGCCACTTAATTAAGAGTGTTATCAAGTGTTCTGTAAATGTGTAGATTCTGATTAGTTATCAGTTTGTTATACTTTTTTTCCCCCCTTTTTTTTTTTTTGAGATAGAGTCTCGCTCTGTCACCCAGGCTGAAGTGCATAGGCGTGATCTCAGCTCACTGCAACCTTCACCTCCTAGGTTCAGACAATTCTCTCACCTCAGCTGCCTAAGTAGCTGGGATTACAAACATGTGCTACCACGTCTGGCTATTTTTTTTTTCCTTTTTTTTGTAGTTTTAGTAGAGACAGGGTTTCATCATGTTGGCAAGGCTGGTCTTGAACTCCTGACCTCAAGTGATCTGTTCACCTCTGCCCCCCAAAGCTCTGGGATTACAGGCGTGAGCCGTCACACCCAGCCAGGTTGTCATACAATTCATCTGTCTCCCTTCCTAGACACAAGCTCCTCAGGGTCACGTCTGTTCTTCCTTGCTGGCAGAGGAGATGCTTCAGAAGTGCTTGTTGCTAGAGGAGAAAGGTACCAGTGGCATGTGGTAGGGATTCAGAGGAGGGTGAAAATAGCAGGAAGAAATGTTCTTTGAGATGAACATTGAGGAAGTGGTGGGATCACACCTGACCCAGATAGAGAAGGGGCTGAGATCCAAGCAAAGGATGCTGGGAGCAGGGAAAGAGACAGTTGACTGAAGTCAAAGGCTGGAGAGGTTGGCTGGGGCCAGATGATCAGGGACATGGTGAGTGGTTTGTACTTAATTTAATCTTGCAGTGACATGATAAGAATGATTAATGGGGAACATAATCTGGTGAAGGAGTGTTTGATGGATTAGAAATGGTAGAGGCTGGAGGCAATTAGGCCAATTAGGACACTGTTGCAAAAGTCCCGGGGAGAGCTGAAGAGGATCTGACTTCTGATAGGGAGTAGGAAAAAGAAGGGATGGAGGCTGGAGGTATTTTGGAGATACAGCCTGAAGTTCTTGTAATCCAAACTTCCCCAGAATATCTCAGCCCAGAAATAAAAATAGGATGAAAACAACAAAAGCACAATACTATTTTTTTCTTTGCTTTCTATCAACTGTTTGCAATCTGCAATCCTTTCCGATTCTTCCTTCCTGTGGGGACAAGTGAATAGGCAGATGCTGAATACCACTGTTGGGCTTGCAGAAGCCCCCAGTGTCGGTGGGCTGAGGCTGTGGCTGCTGGTGTCAATTAAAGGCACCCATGGGCAGGACCGTCTTGCCACTAAGCTTCAGGGCAAAAGGGAAACCTCAAGGCGATGCTACCCACTGCTAATTGGTACCTGGTACAGGAATCAAGACTTCCCTTTGTTTGCTCTCAGTGGTTTACAGAGATTTTTCTCTAAAGCAAACTCTCCTTTCACTAAAATTCCGGTGTTTGTGCAAATTGGGAAGTTAAACTTAGCAAGAGCATCTCTGCTGCATTTAGATAATCATTTTTCTCTGACACTGGCTTCTTGTTTTTACATGAAATATGTGAATTCCTCCTTTCTGCTCAGAAGTACACCTTAGTAGTTGACAAAAGTGAACTACCCGAAGGGCCAGCCTTCTCTGGATTCTAGTTGAGACCTTGCTTCCCGGTGAGAAGTGTGTGCATTTGTGTATCTGGTGACCAAGATCGCTCGGGGAGCAGGCAGGGGTTTGGGGAGCAGGCAGGGGTTTGGGGAGCAGGCAGGAAGAGTGAGGGACAGGTGGGGAGTAAGAAGGGTCAGAAAGCGATTTTGGTTCAGCAGTATTAATAATATTTTTGTTTTAAATCATTGTCTTCTTCAATGTTGCTTACTTTGTCACTCCTGTAAATATGAAAGCCCATTTATTCTTCTAATAGAAAAATTTTCATAATTGTTTCCTCACATGAGATGTTTATGGCTTTATATATAGGTGTGTGTATATAAAGAGGAGGCATGTAATTTACAAAGGCAGATTTTAAAAGCCTTTCTACAGGTGAAATGCAAGATTCAATTGCATTTTTTCTTTTTGAGATGGATCTTACTCTGTCACCCAGGCTAAAGTGCAGTGGCGTGAACATGGCTCACTACAACTTCAAACTGGGCTGCAACAATTCTCCCTCCACAGCCTCCAGAGTAGCAGGAACCACAGATATGAGCCATTACAGCCAGCTAATAGAAACCAAGTTTTCTGTAGAGACGGGGTCTTCCTGCCTTGCCCGGGCTAGTCTTGAACTTCTAGTCTCAAATTTGTTGATTTCTTCCAAAAGTATTTTCTGCTTGACATTGTTATTTGAAGAAATAGTTTTTTTAAAAAAATTGAAGAAAGACACTATTTTTATCCCTGTAAGCTTGAACTAGGGCTTTCATATTGAGTAAAAGACAGTATAAAATATCACTGGGGATTGGTCATGTTAAAGCTCTGTTGTCAAATACTGTAGGTCTGCACATTGAAAAGTGGACTACTGATGGGTTTTGTGCTTCCTGCTATAAAAACCAGCACCTAGGCCCCAGATGAGTGTTTAGATAGCTAAACACTCTTAGGTTCCACTAATCTGATGGCAAGCACCAGAGATGCCTGTGGATACCTGGTAATAAGGGCTGTAGAAGAAACTGTGGAAATTCTGCTACCCTGTCAGTAAACCATGCAGCTCTAGCCAGACCCTGCCATGTGCTCATGGGTCCAGAGGTGCACATGTGTTCATCTCAGCTCATCAATTTTCTCTGTCCCTGCATAACTTTGATTGCTAGGAGCCTTTCCTTAGTTTGGCCTCTGTGCCACCCTGAGACATTCCCTTGTCCTTTACGGCTCACGAACGCAGTGCAGGTTTCCAAATTCATACCCTCAGAGCTTGAATGATTGGTCCGGTTTATCTTTTCCACATTCGGTCATGTCTTGAGCCACTGGCCAGTCTATAGGTTGGTTGTTGTTTGGTTGGTCATCTCATCATGTTCCAGTTAGCTGTGATCTGAAGGGGCTGTAGGATGGAGAGATTGTGTGAACTTCAGTTGGTTGTTCAAGCATCAGAAGGTGAGAGCACGGCAGTTTTTGCTAGAACAATAGTGAGTGGTTGGTCAGGTACTGATCAGTATCTCCAGGTAAGCAGAGTTTCATTTTGATTGCTCTTCATGAGGAAAAGCAGAAGCCCAGAGCTGTGTTGATAGAGTGATGAAACTGAGATAATGTTTTGAGCAGTGCCCAATGGAAACATCTTTGCTAAGAAGAACGAATGAAGAATTTTGGCAATTAACTATGTAACTGAGTCCCAGACTCTGCTATCATCTGGGGTGGCAGATAAAAACACATACTCCAAATCAAAAACCTGATTTTTTATTTTAGCCTGAATCACCCAGATCACAGCAGGATTTTGCTTGAATGACCCAGACAGATTGCATCAATTTTCAGCTTTACTTTGCTTGTGGAAACCAGGCTGTTAGTGGTTTCTTCTGAAATGGGAGAATGTATCAAAAAAGGTTGGAACCTGAACAATTTCTAGAATTTCATTGTTCTGTGCTTCTTAATAAACAATGTGGCACTATAAAGGAATGTGTGTTGACTCTCTTTTTAAAAAAATAAAGATGTAGTGGATAGCATGATTTTGATGAAATGTCAGCCTTATTTTTCATTTGAAAACTGTGTGTGAAGGAATCAGGCGTAATGGCACGATACTTCTCTTTGAATGTGCTTATGAGATTAAATTTCAAGTACATTGCATTATACTACTTCATAAATTGTTGTTTTCTTCTTTTTTGAATTGTTCAGCCTGTCTAATGGTAATGAATACAATTTAATTAGACACTTTTCCTCAAAGGATATTTTCCCTAAAAGAAAACAAAGAGGGCCGGGTACAGTGGCTCATGCCTGTAATCCCAGCACTTTGGGAGGCTTAGGTGGGCAGATCACGAGGTCAAGAGATTGAGACCATTCTGGCCAAAATGGCGGAACTGTGTCTTGTCTCTACTAAAAATACAAAAATTAGCTGGGCATGGTGGTGCACGCCTGTAGTCCCAGCTACTCGGGAGGCTGAGGCAGGAGAATCGCTTGAACTTGGGAGGCGGAGGTTGTCGTGAGCCGAGATTGCACCACTGCACTCCAGCCTGGGTGATAGACTGAGACTCTGTCTCAAAAAAAAAAAAAGAAGAAAAAAAAGAAAGAGAAAGCATAGAATAGTTAAAAATGTATTGGTTCAAGCACACACATTTTTATTTTTAGTGATTTTATTAGAACAACAAACTTCAAAATCATTCGTAACAACCTTTCTGGATTGATCTGATGGAACTGTTTTCACCTATTCACTGATAAACCTGTCAGCCACTTCCTCTCATGACACATCAAAAGCACATGTGTTCACATATTGTGTCCTTCTGTGTAATGCCGTGTGCTGGTTCAGATTCTGAAATGGAGTGTTAAAAGCATGGGGGCTTCAGTTGGTCCATGTGAGTTTGAACCCTGGCCCCAGTTGGTATAGGTACTTAATCTCGGTGTCCCATGGTTTCCTCAACTGCAAAATGGGTTTTTAGTAGTACCTACCTCACTGGGTTGCTGCAAAGGTGCTTAAAATAGTACCCAACATCTAGTACACTGGCCCTCCATATCTGTGGGTTTCATATCTGAGGATTCAATCAACCTGTGATTGGATAAATAATATCCAGGTAAATAGCTGCATACCAGGAAAAGAAAAAAGAAAAAAAAATCCAGAAAAAAATTGTGCCTGTACTGAACATGTACAGACTTTGGCTCTTTCCACTCTATAAACAATACAGTATAACGTGTATTTACCTCGCGTTTACATTGTTTTAGGTATTATACGTAATCTATGGATCATTTAAAATATACAGAAGGATGTGCATAGGATATATATAAATACTACACGATTTTATATCAGGGACTTTACCTGGAACCAATATGCTCAGAAGACATTTGCTATCATTTTTATTCTCTTGCACTCAAGAAAGCACATATTGGAATGCAAATGAATACCAATAATAGTTTTTAAAAGGATAATTTATATACAATTTACATTGTACATTCATATTGTCTGATGAAAGGAAATAATCTATAACCTTCAATTCAGAATTGATGAGCTGTCCTATTTTGAGAACTGTTGCTCTAGGTAATTTTCATCTCTGTATTAACGTGTAAAACTGATTTTAACAGGTAGATAAATGCTGTTTGGAAAGCATACTTCACCCATCTGGCAAATAAAATAATTGAAGGATTTAATTAATTTAGAAAAAAATATTTCATTTTCAAAACGTTCAAACTGCTCAGAGCATGTTATTAAATAATCTACCTTTCACTAGGAATCATAATAAAAACAAAGAAAATGCTTACAGAACCCCTGCAATGCATTAGTATACATAATTATTCCTTGTGTAAGTGAATCTTGTTGAGATTTTATGTTCAGTCACTTGAAATTAAATACTTTACATATTAACTAAAATGTGTCCTGCTCTCTGTATTCTGGAGAAGTTACTCTCAGGCAAATTTACATATTCAAATTATTTTATGGGCTAACTGACAAGTATAGAGAAGATTGAAGACAGTTAAGATCATTTATTTCAAAATGTTTTAAAGCATTGATTATTTCTTTTGGTTTTCCTTCCTTCCCATGACAGTTTTGAGGTGTACCTCTTACTTGGCAGATGTCACTCTGTACTGGGTACTGGGACAGAGAGCAATACAATAGCAAGAGAGACATCCCTCCTCTGCCCCCTCTATCATTCTGACTTCCAGAAAACTAGCCTTTTTCAAGACTTGTAGAGAAGAAAAAGTGAAAATATTTTTAAAAAATCATTGAAAGTACATACTGCATAAACCATAGCAGACATGATGAGATATTGAAATTTCAATGTTATTAAAAAATTTTAATATGATTTTACAGCCCTTTTTCTACTTTAAAACGTGTATCTTAGTGTTAAACAAACAATCAATAACCACATAAATTTAAAAATTGCTGCAGGAAATACCAGACAGTTTATTGAAGGATCATGCGACAGAAATAAGGACCGAAGAGCGTAAGGAGCTAGACCTGTGCAGGTTACCGAAGTCAAGAACCTAATTAATCAGTAACAGGAAGTGCAGAGCGGGCTTTTGAGTCCATGCCTGAGTAAGAAATTCCCAAATAACACTAACAGAAGACATTTCCTTACCCCTGCTTTTAGTTTAGCTCTAGCTAACTTAGGATTAACAAAATATATGTGCTGAATGAATGTTTTATTTTTTTTTCCAGCTCCACATGCCTGTCTAGACTTTGAGCTTTATTATGAATAAAGAGAAAAATCGGCTGGAGGGCGAAAAAAAAATTTCAGGCAGATTAACACATGATTTACCTCTTTTTGAACATCCATCTTAATGGAAGTGCTAAGAAAGTTAGATTCAAGCCTGGCTTGGACAAAGCAAGGCCACCCCCTCCTCTATTTTTTCAATGAGATTTTCCAATCCTAGTCAAATGGTGGTGCTAGTTCTTTATTTTTGAGTTACTGCATTTCCTAATTTCATGGTCATAACAGCCTCCTGTCTACCGACTCAGAACGGAATTTACCAAAACTGAAAATGCGGGCTCCACGCTCAGAAGCTCTTTAACAGGCTCGAAAGGTCCATGCTCCTTTCTCCTGCCCATTCTATAGCATAAGAAGACAGTCTCTGAGTGATAATCTTCTCTTCAAGTAGGTACTCCTATTTCTTCTCAATTTATTTTTTCCTTTTTGATATAATGTGCTACTGTTTACAAGCATATTGTAACTTCAGAGCTTACCTCTCATCTTTAAAAAATGTTCATTTTTTTCCTCTTTCTGCTCCAAGGATATTTTGCAAACTTACTGGCAAGTATTCCTAGGATGATAAAATGTGAAATCTAAACTTCGTACAGTGGAAATTCACTTCTAGAGTAATATTTAGCTGAGGCAGAGGGCAATCCGACTACCCTGTTCTTAGTACAGCACACACAGGCTGCCTGTCTGTTCCAGATAACATATATCTATTGGATCCAGCACTAGCTAGGAGACACTGTATTGCTGAGCTGTGTTAGAATTTTAAAAGTTCTTAATTAAAGAAATCTCAGACTAGCAGGAACACAGTACCTGTTTTCTTAATCTTTGGAGCCATAACTTATGTGAGTTTGAACTAAACGATGTGAATAAGCCATTATTTGTTTCCTAAAGGTAGTCAAGTTTTCTGAAAAGCTACACATCTAGCAGCACAAGAACGAACCACTCTGTCTTGAAATTGGCCTCTGATTTTAAGCAAGTTCTTTTGAGTCCTGGTGTCCCATTTTCTCGGTTCCTTTCTGCCTCTCAAAGGCACACGCTTATGACTTCACCACATATAGCAGTGGGCTACTCGGGTAATGATGTGGCAATCACAAGACAGGGCAGAATACTTTCATTTTGGTCAGAGGAATGCCACATGTCTTAGGAAATGCTCGTTGAACTGTAAGTTTCATGCTTTGTCAAGAAGATAACCAGTATTCTCTCGAACAAGTCCATAGGAGCCGACATGATTAAAACATTTTAAAGCAATTTACTTGATAGAAGGGTTGGGCTTTATCAGGACTAGTGATCATGGCAATGGTTCCTGCTTAAAGGTGCCAGATTTTTAACGCCTTTATGTGTCAGATCTAACAGGCTTACAGAGCAACTCTATGTATACGAGGTTGCTGGGAAACTCATCTAGTTTTGAATGTGGCATATACATATTTTAATGTTGAGAGTAAACTTAGGAAGACCAGGTAGAAGTATTTGAACTGAATTCTGAAATGTACAGAGAACTTAAATTGGATGAGAATGTTTGAGATCCATGGTTCAGGGTTCATTTCTATACCATACAATCCCTTCCTATTTCTCAAAAGCAAATGTTTTATTTGATTTTGTTAACATCCTGTGAAGACTGCCGACTAGGCCTTGAAATGCATGCAGATAATGCCATAGCGGTTGGATAAAATACTCTAGAGTGTTAGATTTTCAAGGAAATTAGGAATAAAAACAATATAGGTAAAAGATACGATGTGTGGGAAAAAAGCAGAATTTTCATTAAGAACAAAAGGGTCGTATTTACAAGTAGAAGATTTTTCTTGGACACTTGGAGGTATTGTTTTGTTTTATTGCTCATGACAGTCAAGGAAAGGAATAAAATGTTTGGGTCTTAAACTTGCAGCAAGAACAAAGTCAAACTATCTTTTGTTTCTGAGAACTCTGTGTCTTTTTGTTCAATATTGGGTTTAGAGCTAACTACCATCCACCTTCCCTTCAAACACTCACCCTAAACCTCCACACAGTATAACTATGTACATCAGGTGTCTGCTAAACATGTTCACATGCTTGTCTGCAGGTCCCCTCTTAGTGTATCTGCGTTCATTTATCCTAGTTGGTCAGAACAGTTGCTTGGGTTGAGGGCATGGTGGTTGAGTTTACTTTGCTTTGAATAGGGAACAGCTCGACTCCATGACTCTAGATTGGCATTTGGAAAAAAAGGTGAGGAAGAGAGTGACCCAGCTCTCAGTAGACCATCCACACTGCTGGTAAAATAAAATAAAATAAAATAAAATAAAAAAACAAGCTCATAGCATAGGATTCATCTATGGCAGTGGCGATATGGTCCTGTCCATCTGCCTCTATCAGGATAGTGTCTCCATTGTTGATCTCTGAGAAACAGGTGCTATCTGTGAAGCCTCTTGCATATTATCAAATAAAGTGCTCTTTTCAAAGGCAGGCACTGTACAGGTAAGACTGATGATGGTGTGCCTGCCTTCTGGGCAACATCTCATTAGACTTCCTCTGAAACATTCCCACTGGACACAACAGCAAAAACATACACATCAGTGAGTTTTATGGTTCTATCTAAGGCGTATAACATTTTTCCTGCTGAAAGTCTGTGAATCTTTCAGAGAATGAAGGGGCTTACCCTACCCACCTGCCCCTTAAAATATTCTGCTAGAAAGCTGATGCCTCTGTTCAGGTTTTCCGCAGCAGATCAGTGTTCGGTGAGAATTCTATTAAGTGGTTCATTTCAAATCCATGGAAAACGACTGAGCACCCAGCCAGAGCTCCCACCACTCTCTAGCTGTGCAATTAGAGGCAGATTATTTCACCTCCATCATTGAATTTCTCATCTGCAAAGTTGAAGTACTAAGAGTAGCTACCAGATAGAATTATATGGAATAAATGAGATTAAACCCCTCATTAAACTCCTTGCAGTCTCTAAACTTTGGAAACTCAGTATGAGGAAGTTATTTCTACTTTAAGCCTAGCACAGTGCCTGGTACTCAATACATGTTGGTTGAATACATGAAATAATTCAAGATCAGCACCGAAGCTGCTAGGAGTTTATGAACATCTGATCATAACTGGAAACTTGATCTAAAAAACAAAGGGCAGTCAATCCAATCAACTGAGCATGCCACCTGTTGAAATGCTGCTGCTTCTGTAATGAGTATAAAGTGTTGGAAGAGAGTCCAGAAACCTCCATCATCCTTCCTTCCATCATTCCTCTCCGTTGTGACTCTCTTTGTGATGAGAAGGGTGAGATTAACATGTCAAAAATGTGTTACAAACCCTTCACATTCTCTTTCACATCAACAGAAGCATGCTGCTTCATTGTTGGACAGTGTCTTAGCCCATGCACACATAGAGTTATATGCTGATTTTCTTTTTTTTTTTTTTTGAGATGGAGTCTCGCTCTTTAGTCCAGGCTGGAGTGTAGTGGCACAATCTCGGCTCACTGCAACCTCTGTCTCCCAGGTTCAAACAATCCGTCTGCTTCTGCCTCCCGAGTAGCCGGGATTACAGGCATGTGCCAACAGGCTCGGCTAATTTTCACATTTTTAGTAGAGACAGGGTTTCATCATGTTGGCCAGGCTAGTCTCAAACTCCTGACCTCAAGTGATCTACCTGCCTTGGCCTCCCAAAGTTCTAGGATTACAGACATGAGCCACCATGCCCGGCTGTCTGCTGATTTTCTAATTCAGTATAATACCAAAGACCTGAGATATTCTCTCCCTCACTGGCCCCATAACATATGCCCTTGAGGTGGTAATAATAGCAACTATAGTAGCAGTCAAGGTTGGGAGAGCTCTTACTTTGTGCAGTATGTTTTATGCTATTATCATGTGCGATTCTTGGAGCAACCCCAGGTGGTGATCAATGTAATGATTCCCGTTGTACAAATGAGGAAACTAAGGCTTTGCAAAGCTAGGTAACATGTCAGTATTACTCAGCTTTATAAGCGACAGCCCTAAGACTTGAGGATAAACTCATCTAATTCCAAAGCTCATGCTTTTAGCCATTACTTGAGACAGTATTAACTTTTAAGTTTGTAATCGATATGAATTTGGCCATGGGAAAGCAAGTTGAGCATCTGGGGCTGATGGGTGATAACATTATGCGCTCTCTTAGCCTCAGTATCGTCATCTATAGTGGGAACGATTACATCTGAGTTACAGAAGTTTTTTGGCTATTGATGAGGGTTAAATAAAGTAATGCATATAAGAGAGTTTTATACAAAGTTCACTTTTAAAAAAATGCAAGCTGTTATATGCAATGCATAAATTATTACTTAGTTACATGTGAAATCTTCCCCCCAAGTGAATGAGGCTTCACCTGGGTATAGTGCTATGAGATAGATATGAGGGACAGATTGGTTTATGTTTCTCAAAAACAGAAAGTGTGCAGGGGTGGAAGTGTGGGTGGGGAGTCCGGGCCTCCCTGACATGTGGCAAAGCTGGAATGTGAGTACGGCAGCAGGATGGATGGGGATTTGGAGGGATGGTGGTAATCCTCTTTTTGGGGCACCCCTCCAGTATTTGGGGATATTCTCTGTCTAGGAGCTTCCCTAGTCTTTCTGTGGTGAGAACCATAAAGATCTTTGTTAGGTACATACCTGGAGCTTGGTTTCCCTAAGCATAGTTTTCAAGAACTTAATCTGGCTTTAGTCTCCTATTTAAAGCTGCCACCTGCTCTCAATTCTTTGGGTTTTCCTGTTAAGAACAGATATAACTTGGGCAGTCTTCCAGTTCTCCTTTCTTGCTGCCTTGAAGACAACACACAGGCCAATCACAAGGAGGAAGAGACAGGCCCCAGCAAGATCCCCGTCTCTACTAAAAATACAAAAATTAGCTGGGCGTGGTGGCCTGTGCCTGTAGTTCCAGCTACTCGGGAGGCTGAGGCAGGAGAATTCCTTGAACCTTGGGAGGCGGAGGTTGCAGTGAGCTGAGATTGTGCCACTGCACTCCAGCCTAGCGCCTGGTGACAGAGTGAGACTCTGTTTCAAAAGAAGAAAAAAAAAAAAAGATGACAATCCTAGAGAACTCAGTGTGAGTAGACTTGCTGGGGTTCCTGACTTTTGCTGGAATAGAATACCACTGGCTTTTCGACATTTCTTTTCCCAATTGTTTGCTTGTCAAAATGGCCAGCAGCTCAGCTCCCTAAACATATCTTTTCCACTAGATTGGTTCAGAAGAAGCCATCAAGCTACTTTTGCAAATGGATGATCTGCTTTTTTGAGATCCTTCTTTCCTCTGCTGTTCATAGGAATGATCTCACTGTAATATTTCCTTTTGGAATGTTATTAAAGACACCAAGAAATCAACAAGAAAATTTGAGTTTATCTGACAGAAGAAACTGGCCTTTTGTACTCTAATATTTATTTATTAGAACCAATAACTTGTCAGAAT